ATCTCTGTCATCAGAGTGAGAATCCAATGACTGAAGACCTGATCAAATGATTATCCTGCATTTAGGGGCCAAAGAAGGACCCATGCAGACACCAGAGGCTGGTGCCCATTGAGGTTGACCCAGGCAGTCACTGGAAGGAATAGTGGGGACAGAGATTGGAGTAGACGTAGACCAGTCAACTCTATTATCCATGGAGGGCAGAAGACCCCTTACATGGCATGAAAAAAAAGACTCAGATGGAGGCATGGAAAGGTCCGTCTGTGCTTCCATTGTAGCAGTGGGGCATAGTGCAGTGGCATATGTCCGAGATGGAGTAGGGAACAATAGCTTCCAAGCCTCTGGATATGAAATGTTGTGAATAATCATCAAACACTGTACCTCTTTCTCCTCCACCCACTTAGAGCAAGACCTAAAGTAAGAGGGGTGGGAACCACTACAATTAACACAGTGAGGGTTCAGTTTGCATTCGTAGGCGTCGTGGTCCTTGCCACCACAATGAGCATACGTCACAGAACCACAACAAGATGTCTTTGAATGACCGAACTGCTGGCACTGAAAACATCAGAGAGGGCTGGGAATATAGAGCCATACCTTACAGTTCAAATAACATGCCTCAACAGTGGCAGGTGAACGTGGTGATGAAAACGTCAAAATAAGAACTGAGGTCGGCACCATAATACCATCTTGACGAGTGGAGATCCTTCGAACTGCTGAAACTCCTTGGCTGGAGAAACCAGCAAGAATCTCTGACATGGGGATAGACTTCAAGTCCCTCTCAACAACAACTCCTCGTGAGGACTTCAAAGAAGCGTGGGGAGTAGCCTCAATGGGTACATCCCCAATGGCTTTTGAATTCAAGAGGAATTCATTGTGCTTAGCTGAGAAACCAGCAAGAATCTCTGACATGGGGATAGACTTCAAGTCCCTCTCAACAACAACTCCTCGTGAGGACTTCAAAGAAGCGTGGGGAGTAGCCTCAATGGGTACATCCCCAATGGCTTTTGAATTCAAGAGGAATTCACTGTGCTTAGCTGTAGATGTTTCAACCAAGATGTTTCCTGAACGGAGCTTCTTAACTGACTTTGGAGAACCAGCAAGCCCCTCTGAATAAAAAAGGGAAACATTTGCCCTAAAGATTTATCAGATAGTGAATGCTAGATTAGAAAGTGAAGTACAGGTCTACCATGTGGTGGAGACTGCTGTTCAGTCTTCTAGGCATGGTCGTTTATCGATTAGCAGAGATTTTACACTTTTTTATTTAGATTGGGGGATCCATAATAAAGAAGAAAGATTCAGTGCCCACTGACCCCACCCGCCATGGAGTCCTACGAGGGGAC